GTAGTGCATGCGGCCTACATCGCTCTAATTTTTTTGGTGCTGCTGGAGGGAGCCAGTGGGCACGTATCATGTGGTGTTCATGTCAGATGTCCTTTTTCAAGAGCTGTTGTGAGGCTCTTCGAGTGATTTAGCAAGTGGAAGCCCACATTTGCTGCGATTTGATACTTCCGTTGCCCACCCGTCAATTCTCCCAACATCACCATGCCATTTCATGATCCAAGAAATGGCCTCCTCTGGGCAGCGATTCTTTATGCTTTGTGTATGCATTTTGGGTCTGCAGGGACACGCGGCGGTAGTTGGTCTCACGTCTCAGACCCTGGAACATTTTTTTTTGTGCTGTTTGGGGTGTATGGAAGAAAGACCTGGGGTGGTAGGGATTATGTTTTCTGACCCATAGACCCCAAAGCCCATGATTTAAACCCAAGTCCTTCAACCCTTAACTTCTAAACCCTGAATCTTGAATCTGGCTTAGGGACGAATTCCTGAACACATGGCAGGCATGTCTTCTCGGCTGAGCCTGGTCGGCCGGCGGCTGATACGTGACCAGGATTGCTTCGCAACACTTACTGGTCCTTAAGGGGGATTCAGGGTTCCAGGGTGCCAGAATGCTGCGTCCAAAATGAAGTTTGCCAGCTTCAGTTCTTGGCAGGGAAAAATGCAATTCATGAGCAGGTAATATCCTATGGCCTCTTATTGTGCTTGCTTATAGCCAACACTACACAGCGTTTCAGGTACCTACCTAGGTTCAATTGGGCTTCCCAAAAGCCCTGGCTTTAAACCACCCCAAGCCGGGGTGGCCTGAATCCTTGAACTTCAAGCCCTGTTTTTTTTTCTTCGGGTACGCAGAGGCATCGGCATTGAGACTCCCAGTCTGAAGTTGTTGATGCCCAAGAGCCTCTCTCGAAAGTCAAGTTGCCTGTGGCCTTGCATGCCCCTAGACATTCTTTTAGAGGTTTTGGGATTTAGGTTTTTAGGGGTTTGAGGTCTTGGGAGTCTAGAAGTTTATGTGTGTAGGGTGCACCAATTCCCGGAAGTGACTGTGCAAGACTTATGTCAGCCTCTGACCGTTGTCTTGAGAGGTTGAGGCTTTCATCTTATCCCCGCATCTCTTAGGTGGTCCCTTCACCCACTGAATAGAAGTAGAACGAGAATATCTAGTGGCCCTGATATGCTTACCTCATCCCGTCTGGTCTCTGATGTATGTGCCACAGGAGTTTGTCCACCCTGGCCCCGACAATAAGGAATCCGTGACTATCACATGATTCTTATAAGGTTCTTGTTATGGGGGTGAGGGTTATCGAAACCCTCTTGTTGCAGCCTTTGCTAGCAGTTTGAGGTCTATTGGAGGCACGTTATGCCACAATTATGCAATTACAAGGAATCTGGAACAATATCGGTAATTGTTTAGATGTCTGTGAGTTTCCTTGCGCAAGCCTTCGGCTGTGCTCAGGGTTTTGCGGGGAGCCTTTTTGGCGCGCGTGGGATGGACATTGAGAAGGAGCGAAGCTGCCCACCTGTCCAGCGTAAACTTCGGGTTTGTTTTGGTGGAACACACCCCTTAAATCTTCAAATGGAGGCCAACATGTCATTTTTCAACGAAAGCCTTTGAACTTGGACAGCTAAGGTTTTCTAGGCATCACCAGGGCAGATGCCAGCAGATATGATGCAAAGGTCGTGCAGGGGGACGACTTCGTCCCACCTGAGCACCGGAGCCAGGTGGGTAGTTTTAAAAGTATTCGTCCACCTCACATACCCCAAGGTTTTGTACCTGTCGTCCCTCTTTCCGCCACAAAGGGATCCCTGAGTTTTGAAAAGCCTCCAGGTTGCTGAGGATGATCCGCAGCTGGTCTCGGAAGACTCGCCGTTCTCGACCAGCCCGCTTCGAATGGTGCGAAGACTCTACGAATCCCGAAATTTGGGTGCAGACTTGCCCTACACACCCATGGGAGCCCTACTTGGGCCGGATGTCCCATCAGGCGGCAACCAAGAGCTCGTGTAGCTGTAGCGGAATTGACATTGCATGCATGAAGAGGATGTTGTTTGCTTGAAACTGTCCTGAGACCTTCAGATTTCAAGTGCGGACCGAAACAGAATTCATCCTCAGACTGAGCCATTCACAAGGAATGGAGCAAGCCTGTTGCGGTCCCAATTGTTTTTCCCATTGGCATGCACCCTCTATGAACAGGGTCTTGTTGGCTTTCCACATACACTCTCATGCAGCTGGCTTGCATCACTGCCCTTGCAGGGGAGGGCAAGCCATAAGCTTTCAACTCTGCTTCACTCTTTGCCGGATGCTCGCAAGCTTGCGCTTGAGCCATCCTGCCTTAGCAGGAAGTGCCGCGGGAAGCCTGCCGAAGCTAAGCTCTGAGGCGAGTAGTAGTTGCAGTGTGGTTTGACACCACTGTTTGGGTGACACTCCCTAGATGGAGAGGCGAATTCGCACCACCAAAAAGTGGGAAGAGAGTTCCTTTTAAGATGATGCTTGAGACACAGAATCCAAACAGAGCATGCAAGCACTGCATAATCACTGCACGTACCTGTGTCCCCGCTTTGCACGGATGTGAGTTGCTGATTGTTGCAAAACGCGGATGCGCAAGACAACCTCGTGCTTCGTAGAGAATCAAGGAGTGGATGCATGTACTTTTTCCGCTGTGAACAACACATAGTAATAATCATTCCAACCCAGTACAGTCGCTGGGATTTGTGGGCCACAAAGAAGTTTCCTGCAGACTCACGCTGAATTGATCAACTAATCCTCACTCCTACCCTTTGCATATCTATATATCCCGAACAACAGAGCAAACCTACAGTAAAGAACAGACATGACTTTCTGGAAGTTCATGTCCCACGGCCCTCGATCTCCGTCAACATGGGCCGCCCGGCAGGCTGTTTGAATGGTTCCTCTGTGTAGTACTCTGCTGATGCAGTGATAGATCATCCCGTTTACAATTGTATTGAAGTAGTTTGATTTCCTTCTCCAATCGAAGTAGTGGATTTCTCAACGGTTGTGGCGTTCATAAACCGAATTGTGGTACTGCCTCATTAACGGGAACCGGGAAGCCCAGAAGCTCCCCAGGGCCCATTGCATAATTTCCATCTATACTTCCCATGCAGACCCCACTTGGCAAAACCCTTCAAGCGAGTCTGCCCCAGGAATGCTTTGCCGGCCGTTTCCCAAAGTGGCCAGGTTCCCCAGGCCGTCTGGGCTTAGATTTAATGAAGCCTATTCGGAGGTTCATAGGACTCGGTGACCGTTCCTTTAGGTTGAACGGGTTAGGGTTTGGAGCTTCGGGTTTAGGGATTCGGGCTTGGGGGAGATATGAGCTATAGTCTAAGCTCCTTTAAGGGGGTTATATAGGGGATTATACAGGAGAGTGTGATAAGGGTAGTTGAGGGGGATACTCGGAATCAAGACTATAGCTCATATGGCAATAGCGCGGCAGTCGGTGAGACAATGCTAGGCATGAAAACTTGGGGTTTGAGACTACCTTTGCGATGTGGGCAAGCTTCGCTTAGAAGTCCGTTGCGTATCTACGTGGATCTGATTTTGGCCGAGGACCCAGACCTACCGGAATCCAGGATAGGCAGAGTTTCCACAAAGATATCATCAGAATAATTCTGGAAAATTGTTTTCCGCATCTTGTTTGTTGGTAGTAAGGAATGGAGGAATGGATCCCTACAAAAGATTTTTTTTTCTTAGCAAGCAGCAGTATCCCGTGATTGAAGCTCCAGGCCAGATTCCCCTTGAGCGTGTTCCGGTTACGGGCTCTCTTCATTCGTTGAAACACCCATTTTGGGTCAGAGTCCTGCAAAGTTACAGGCAAGGAATGTCCCGTATATACCTCCCTAAGGCCCACAGAAAGCCATACATCAGTTTACAGTTTCGTATCCAGGGATATCCAGGGTTCGGGTTAAAGTCTTAGTGGAGATTTTTCTTTGCCACAAGCCTAGAACATCAACGCTAGGGCCTGTCCCGAAGGGCCGGTAAAGTATCTGACGGTCACATATCTGCACAAGAACGATGTCATCATTTCCATGGTCAAAGCCCCATGGATAACCCAAACATTACGACTTGAACCTGGCAGATGCCAGGTAGGGAAAACACTGCTTATTGGGATTCTCAATCCTGGGCCAGGCAAAAGCACGGGCAAACGGGCCCCGCATCCCGACGCAGCGTAGAGGGTTAGGCGTTGACAGTTTTGGGCTTGAGATTTACATAGTTTGGAGTCCATTCCGACTCTTACCATGTATCATTACGCGTGCCAGTACGATTCTGACTCTTTTCAAGGGGTTGGTCGACTTAGGTAGGAGTTTTTGTTATCAGTCTGTCAATCTGGTTTCCAAGGGATTGCTACGAGAGGACATGGGGTTCCACATGCTCATCTAGCAATCTCCCCCCAAAATGCCCCCAATAGAGCCCCGTGCCCGTACTTATGCTAGAAAAGTTTAGCTGTTGCTTGGATATGAAAGTGCCGCAAATCAGGCACAGGCCTCATTCCCTGGATGAGTTGGTTTACGATCCTTTTCGTTATATGCATACCCAGTATGGGACATGCAACAAGTCTAATGTTCAACAAGCGTCCTATAAGGACCATTAAGGAAGCACCTAAGTTGCAGTGTGTCGCAGCTAGCTACAGGTCGTTCTGCACAACTAAATTGTTGCTGCAGGGCTTTGGAACATCAGCCAACATCCCGCCCCTCCCTCAATAGGAATAATGGTCTTGCAACCAGATATTGGCATAGCAGTCTCACGGCTGATCAGATACGTTGAATAGCAACAGAGCAGGGTCACGGGTATAGCCCTGAAACGAACGCATTACAATTAATGTCTGAAAACGCTGGTGCCAAGTTACGCTCTGTAACCGGGATCCCATAATCACTTTGCAATCCCCACATTGCCCCCGGGGCCGCAAAGCGTATTTCATTTGCAGAGAATCCGTCATCTTACTGCAAAGCCATTTGTGCAGGCACTGTAGAGACTTGTTGGCCCTGTTCCCACAATGCTGCGACTTGCGCTTGCACTCATCTTGGAGGCCGTGCTTCCTGCAAGGTCAGCACCATGCCCAGCAAATGCTGCGCCATTCACGCCGCCCAGTGCTATCTCCGAAGCAGAGCAGGTCAAGTATGCCGAGCTTTTCACAGTGACATGGCACACCACCTACAAGGTCATCAAGTTTAATCCGACGCAGGGGCTGTTCAAGAGTGGCTGGCCTAACCCAAGTCTGCGAAACCAGCGAATCCCAGATTTGGTGTTGTATCAGTGCCTGGCTTGAACACAAGAACGCATGTGATTTCTTTGCGTAGCGAGGGTTCAAGTCGTGACATGAAAGTGCGATACAGGTTGCATGAGCAAACACGACCGGCTTATCTTTTCGTCGTCTACTGCTTGTGGGTGTGCTTTTGCTGGTGGTGGTGGCGGTGGTGGTGGTGGTGTAGTGCTGGTACAACAACTGCTACTGCTACTAGCTGCTGCTGCTACTGCTACTGCTACTGCTTCTTCTCCGACTCCTACTACTACTACTACTACTACTACTACTACTACTATTACTACTCCTGCTGCTGCTGCTGCTGCTCCTACTACTACCACTACTACTAGGTTCGCGCCTCATATGTGACGCTACCTTTTCCTTGTATTCGTAGCGGTTTTACTCTGGGTTTTTGCACATTCAAGTTGAAACGGACGTGGTTCCTTTTTAAAGCTGTTTTCTGAGATCTACCGTTGTTAGATTTTGGCATACATGGGTGTGAGGATTTCTGACTTGATCTTATCATTGCCCCATGAGTCCAAGCTACCCCCCATGAGTCCAAGCTACGCCCCACTTGTCAAAGCTACGCCCCATCAGGCCAAGGGTTCGAGGAGTTCTGATTTAATTTTGCGATCGCCCAATTTGTCCAAGGGTTTCAGGAGTTCTGATTTACTTTTATCATCGCACCATTAGTCCAAGGGTTTTTTGTGGAGTTCTGACTTAATTGTACACTCGCCCCATTAGTCCAGGGTATGGACCCTATTCTTATGTTTGATTCTTGCTTGGAGGTCTGCAAGATTTTCGGCCTTACTTCTACAGCGGATTTTTGGTTGGCAGTCTGCAAGATTTAAAGGTCCTATTTCTACATACTTTTGCTTGGTTGCCACTCTGCAAGATTTTCGGGCTCATACCTTTAGTCAGGATTTTTGGCTGGCCGCCCGCAACATTAGTCCCAGGGATTCAGGAGTTCTGATTTGGGTTTCTTTTCTTCTCGTCCTATCGCACAGGGATGCATAGAGGGTATCTCCCGTCAGTCATGAAAAACCAAATGCATCAGCAGCGGTAGAGGGGTCGCTTGTGACTTCT